CGACCTGTCTGAAGTAATGCGGTCTCTCGCCAGCTCCCCAATTTCGTGCACTTTCATATTCAAAGAGTCACTTATATTTCATGCCCATCTTCATGTTGGTCAGCCCCTGCCCCTCCTTCCTGGTACCTTGCCTACTGCTATTATTTTTTTCCCCAATCCACTATAGTGCTTGATGTGACCAAAATATTTTAGCTTCCAAGACAAGATGCGGTTTATAGGCCAATCTTCTTTGATGTTCATATTTTTCACAATGTCAGTATTTCTTTTTTTCTGTGCAATGGTATTCTAAACATCTTTCTATCACATTTCAACTTTAAAGCTCTTATTTTCTTCCATATAGACTGGGAGACAGTCCACAACTCACATCCATATGTTGCTATAGGAAAGATGCATGCTCTCAAAATTTTAACTTTGATTTCTTTGCATGCACGTAACCATTGGCTTTTAATGCTGTTTAATTTTTGTATTGCTTTGGCCATCCTCCTTTTGATGTCTGTCGAACAGTCTTCATAGGACTGAGCTCTTTTTGGCTATATTGACTATCTTTGGAAGATGTCTAGGAAGAAACTTGTGGAAATTAAACAGAGAAACATCGTCGTTAACAAAGCACTATTGCATAATTGTTCCGTTGCTGTATATTCCCTGTATTTATGTAGGTCAAACAAGTTGTCTTTGAACTGACAAAGAAACAAGTTAGTCATGTTGAACATAGACATGCTAATTTTAAAAATCTAGAGCCTAGAATGTGAATTTTGTTGAGACACAATCTCACATCTATTTGGACATATTTCTTGCAGCTGCTCCAAGATTCACTCTGCATGCATAAAATGGATGTATCCATGCTGCAGCTTTCAGTATGTGGACATATTTCATGAAGATGCTCCAAGATTCTTTCTGCATGGATGAAGTGGATGTATCCAGGTTATATCTTTCAGTATGGTAATTCATTCTGTATTATGAATGCAGATGGAAGCAATAGACATGTCTCCTGCTGTAAAGATCCAGTAAAAATTATCACAAATGTCACTGCAGCTACGTGTGTCTCTTGTAGACAGGGAACTCACATTGAAAGGAAACCATAAAGGTGTTTCAAGATGTCAGCAGTTAAAAGCAAACAGTGTGACTGATGCATGACATTTGTGTCCCTAACTTCTATATCATGTTTTTTTTAAATATTTTTATTTGATTATTGTCTTACGATGCTACATTTGTGTATCTTTTCAACATACTTAAATTTTAATATTCTAAGAAAATATTTTAATACATCTTTAAAGTAAACAAACTAGACCTGACCCTTAACATAGAATTCAAGTTCATGAATAATTCATCTATTTCTAAATACCTATGTTTTGTTTTGAAATTTTAGAAGTCCAAGTACATGTTTTTCTAATAATCAAGATGGTGGTTGTTACCATGGCAACCATGATTAAAATAAAAAAAATTAAAGTGTACAGATGTATTAACATACAGCCCTACAAATGACCATATAAAATAATTGGTCTAACATTGTGAAACAAATTAAAATTTTTTTTTTCATGTAGTGACCCCTTTCATTTCAGAACAACAAACATGGAAAGAATTCCATACACTTCAGTTATACATTTTATAACAATATGTATAAACAATGCACGCCAAAGTTCAGTATAAAGTGATGTGAGATGATAAATATTATTATATCTACAAACAAAATGAAGCAACAAAAGCAACAAGTAAATAAATAATGAAGAAGAAAAAAACTTGCTTGATACAGCAAATCTGTAACATCCATTTCCTACAAGTCTTTTCACTGGATACCTGATTCAGCTATTGTGAATAAACTATACAAGTGATTCAACTAATATAACTTAAAATATCAGATGATGTATTAAACAGACAACAGTGGTTCTAAAATGCTGGAAGTAAAAATTTAAAAAGTTAGTGATTTATAAGATGTTAAAAAAGAAGAAAAAATACTCTAATCGATAGCTGTATGTCTCATCTTGGCTGCACCACATGGTGGTAAATTAATGCATGACACGCTAAATGTTGTAATGGTCTCTTGAGGGTGAGTAATTAATGCAGATTCAAAAACAGATCACGACGCTCTGAAGGCAGTTGTGCAGTGAAGAGTGACAAGATGGACATACAGTCAGACTTTAAGTCCCCACCTGTGCTGTAAGCAAGATCAATGAAGAACTTTCTGCCAAAGTTTACAACTGGTGATCTCAAAGAAGAAGTAGAAGAAGAAGAGAAGACTGTTACTGGCACCAATGGAACTGAGACTCTGCATTTGCTGCTGAAGATAGGGTTTGAGTGTTTATGGCAAGGTTCCAAGTGCTGTTCTTAACTCACAACTGTATATCTCACCATCACAGTATGATGTTTTGAAGTTCCATTCAATATTCACAAGCAGCTTAGACCAGGTTAAATGTTTGCTCAATTGTATGTGTTTTGTTTTGAGTGAGGAAAAAAGGTGACAGAGCAGCAAAAAAGAAATAAAAGGACACCTTGTCATGTTTAAAAGTTGAGGGATTCTTCTGCTTCTCCCCCCCCCCCACCCCACCCCAATTACTTAATCGAAGTGTTCGAATGAGATTTAAGCCTCTTCTGTGTTCCCTACCCAACTTGATCTTTATTTCTTTAAGACTGTTCTTAATGTCATCATTCCATATTCTGAGAGGTTGTATTCTTGTTTTGCATCCATGATCCTCTGTATCCATGCTTTTTTTTGATACTGGACCAACCATTTTGGTAAATAGCAAGAAATTAAGGGTTGTGAATAGAGTCACATTCCTCGCTGTACACTGTCTCAAAATGTCACAATTGACAATGAGGTAAACACCATGATCTCTAAAGCCAGCTGCACATTTTACAGACTATAAATCACTGCCTGGCATCAAAGTAATGTTAGTCTGCAAACCAAACTGAAGGTATACATAGCTGTAGTGTTTAAAGTGCTGTTGTATCCTTGTGGAACATGGACCTCAGACGTCATGTAAAGAAGCTAAACCACTTCCCCACAGCCTGTCTGAGAAACATACTGAATATTCGCATGACAGTGGATACTGTTTTATGGGATAATGCTGGCATTCCCAGCATTGATGCTATTCTGAGGCGGTCACAGATTCGATGGGCAGGTCACCTCATTCACATGCCAGAGTATCAACTCACAAAAAAAATCTTTTTTGGTGAGGTAGAAGAAGGTAGACACTCTCATGGTGGCCAGAAAAAATGCTTCCAGGACAGGCTAAAGGTATCATTTGAAGCTTCCAATAAAAACCATGACACTTGGGATGCTGTTGCATATGACTGGCAAACATCTATCCCATGAGGGACTGCGACCTGTGAGTCTTCAAGAAAAAGGGCAGCTGAACTTTATCTATAAACCCTGTTCCGTGTTCTCACTGTTCTAGATCCTTCCGGCCTTACTGAGCTTTTAAGTCACCTGTGGACTCTCAGAAAATCAACTATAGTTTTGTGTCAGATGAATGAAGGAGTGTTCTTCACCACATTTGATGGATGAACAAAAACAACAAAGATTTTGCCCTCATTAGTTTTAGAAAGGTCCATGTTTGGTAACATAAAGCTGACCAAAATGTAGTAAGGATCATTATCAAGAAATAATGTAGACTGGTGGCATAAATTGAAGGGCAGACACATAAAAATAATTTGGGAACCACTGCAGTAGAGATCCAGCATCGATATAAAAAAATAAATATGCTAAAATGATTGTTTTGAAATGTACAATGAAACTGTCATAAATGTAAACATGGATTAAGAAAGTGATAATAAATATGAAAAAAAAAATAGTTTTTCACGGGAAACAATGAAAGAACATCAACAACTTAAAATTATGTTAAAATTTAGCCACTGAAAAAGAAAAATCAAATATTTGTCTACCATAATATATTGCTAATAGCAACAGAAAGTATATACAGTTTTATCACCTGACTTTCTTACAATAAATACCAACAATATTAAAAACAATAGGGCAGATATTATCTGAGTGCAAAATACAGTGTTTTCTTAACTTACTGTACAAGGTCTCTTAAAATCGTATGCACATTTTCATGCTAGCATTAAACATTTTTCATTCTGTCCCAATCATTTTGTACAGTTGCTCAATATTAATACACAGTCTCATTCAACACCAATCTGGCACCTTTTGTAATGCCTATGATCTGTTCTTTTCCTAAACATGTAATGCATAAATTACAATCAATGGTAAAAATGTACTTTATAAACCCTCAAATTAAAATCATTTCACAAGTCCTTACTACTTGGAACAAGTGTGGAAAATGATACTGATGTACATATTTCTGATAGTTAAATCAGGTTGCTTTACTTTCTTCATTTTCTTATTCTTCTTCTTCTTTTTCTTCTTCTTCTTCCCTTTTCTTCTTCTTTTTCTTCTTCTTCTTCTTTCCTTTTCTTCTTCCCTTTTCTTCTTCTTTTTCTTCTTCTTCTTCTTTTTCTTCTTCTTCCTTTTCTTTTTTGTCTTCTTCTTCTTTTTCTTTTTCTTCTTCTTCTTCTTCTTCTTCTTCTCCTCCTTTAGTCACATTATGCCTTTCAGCCTCAGGTTTTTAAGAGGTGTTGAGTGCAAGCCTTGCTATGCGCTATGTAGGTGTTGGGATTTACGGTCTTGGATATTCCATCTATCCATCACTTGCAAGCTTCACTTTCTACTCATAAAATACTTTGGTGCACCTGAAGCTAAACTGTACTGTTTCAAAATCTAGCCACACTGTATAAAGTTACCAAGTACAAAATAAAACTGATTACCCAAAAGGTTTTTGTCTTAGAGAAAAACTCTGTATATAAATACAATATCTACAGTCTAAATGATTTTGACTTTGTCTTAAACAAAACTACTTTAACTGATGAATAGTTTTCACAACATTAGAAACAAAATAAAAAAAAGAAAAAGAAAAATGGCAGTCAAGTAAAAGCGCAAATGATGTATCATCAACTTGAAGATGATGACCTTGATAATCACCATACTGTTCTTGCAAGTCAAATGACTACTCCTTACCTTTGACCTCTGTGGTGGATGTTCTGGATGTTGCATCGTTTGAACTGATTTTGCCATGAGTGGTGACCTGAATGTGAGTGCTGGAGGACGACTTGAAGGAAGATAAAAATGGCTTGGGAGAAAGTCTAGGTTTCTGTAGCTTAGACAACAATGAAGGCGATGATACTGTTGTTGATGATGATGATGATGCTGATGTTGATGTAGGTACTGTTGTTGAAATTGTTGACGATTCTGTTGCTGTAGGATTTGCTGACTCGACTGAGTTGCTAGATGTTTCTTCCTTACTTTGTGTATCTACTTCTGAGGCACATTGCTTTGCTTTTTCTCTCTCTTCTGCATCTGAAAGAAATTAGAAATATACATATAAGATGTCAACCTTGTTTTCTGAGTATGAATAAACATAAGGTAAAATAAAGTAAAGGTCCTTCTTCTACGCCTTTATGCATATAGGGCTAGACGTCTATTTTTATAGACCAGTCGGCACAAGATGGGTGATTGTGGTCAGCATCCCGCCGGTCAGCTTTACTTCCAGGGACTGCACCCGGTGCCCACTCAAGGCTGGGTCAACCTGGGAGTCAAGGTCATTTTTGAGAAAAATCCGGCTCCGCCAGGGTGCAAACCCACAACCTCCGATCTGCATGTGAGCGTCTAGCCGTTACACCATGGCGTCTCCATGAAAAAACATAATAAGTCTAAAATTACAGTTTTCAAAATCTTGTTATACAGTTACTGGTGCCATCAGTATTGGAACTCTTTGCTTGCTGTTGAAGATGGGAACGGAGAGCTTATGGGTGTGTCCTAAGTCACATGATGTCAATTCCTAATTCAACATTCACAAATCTTGTAATAGAGATACATCTAAGATCAAAGCAATGTTTCCCCGTTGTTAATTTGAACAAAGAAGATACAAACAATACCTGACGAGATATATGCCAGTCAATAAAGTGTGTAATCTATTGTTTGTATCTTCTTTGTTCAGTTAAATGTAAGAGCCAAAGTGGTGTGGCAGCTAGATGCTCACCTGAGGATTCATGAGTTCAAATCTGCATAAAGCCGAATTTTTTTTCAAACATGACCTTGGCTCCCAGGTAGATTCAGCCTCAAATGGGTAACAGGTAAAATTCGGGGAAGTCAAGGCACATGAGGTGATGTTGACCACAACACACATTATGGGTCTATAAAAATATCAGTCTTACCTCGAATGCCCATGCACCACTGGCATGAAAATTGATCCTTTCTTTTAAAAGCACACTTGTTGTAAACAAGTCATACTTTATCTCTCACACATCATTTTTTGCTAGATCCACACTTGTTGTAAACAAGTCATACTTTATCTCTCACACATTATTTCTTGCTAGATCCACACTTGTTGTACACAAGTCATATTTTATCTCTCACACATCATTTCTTGCTAGATCCACACTTGTTGTACATAAGTCATAGTTTATCTCTCACACATTATTTCTTGGTAGATCCACACTTATTGTACACAAGTCATAGTTTATCTCTCACACATCATTTCTTGCTAGATCCACACTTGTTGTAAACAAGTCACAGTTTATCTCTCACACATTATTTCTTGGTAGATCCACACTTATTGTACACAAGTCATAGTTTATCTCTCACACATCATTTTTTGCTAGATCCACACTTGTTGTCCACAAGTCATAGTTTATCTCTCACACATCATTTCTTGCTAGATCCACACTTGTTGTACACAAGTCATATTTTATATCTCACACATTATTTCTTGCTAGATCCACACTTGTTGTACACAAGTCATAGTTTATCTCTCACACATCATTTCTTGGTAGATCCACACTTGTTGTACACAAGTCATACTTTATATCTCACACATTATTTCTTGCTAGATCCACACTTGTTGTACACAAGTCATAGTTTATCTCTCACACATGATTTTTTGGTAGATCCACACTTGTTGTACACAAGTCACAGTTTATCTCTTACACATCATTTCTTGCTAGATCCACACTTGTTGTACACAAGTCATAGTTTATCTCTCACACATCATTTCTTGGTTGATCCACACTTGTTGTACACAAGTCATAGTTTATCTCTCACACATTATTTCTTGCTAGATCCACACTTGTTGTACACAAGTCATACTTTATCTCTCACACATTATTTCTTGCTTGATCCACACTTGTTGTACACAAGTCGTACTTTATCTCTCACACATCATTTCTTGCTACATGCACACTTGTTGTACACAAGTCATAGTTTATCTCTCACACATCATTTCTTGGTATATCCACACTTGTTGTACACAAGTCATACTTTATCTCTCACACATCATTTCTTGCTAGATCCACACTTGTTATACACAAGTCATAGTTTATCTCTCATACATCATTTCTTGCTAGATCCACACTTGTTGTACACAAGTCATAGTTTATCTCTCATACATAATTTCTTGCTAGATCCACACTTGTTGTACACAAGTCATACTTTATCTCTCATACATCATTTCTTGGTAGATCCACACTTGTTGTACACAAGTCATAGTTTATCTCTCATACATCATTTCTTGGTAGATCCACACTTATAGTACATAAGTCATAGTTTATCTCTCACACAACATTTCTTGCTAGATGCACACTTGATGTACACAAGTCATAGTTTATCTCTCACACATCATTTCTTGGTAGATCCACACTTGTTGTACACAAGTCATAGTTTATCTCTCATACATCATTTCTTGGTAGATCCACACTTGTTGTACACAAGTCATACAAGAGATAGAGAGAGCAAGAGAGAGAGAGAGAGAGAGACAGAGACAGAGACAGACAGACAGAGACAGACAGACAGACAGACAGACAGACAGACAGACAGACAGACAGACAGACAGACAGACAGACAGACAGACAGACAGACAGACAGAGAGAGAGAGAGAGAGAGAGAGAGAGAGAGAGAGAGAGAGAGAGAGAGAGAGAGAGAGAGAGAGATTGCAGTGCTGTTCCAAACATGTTGTATGGTCTAGCTAGCTCCAAAGAAATCAGAGAACAAGAAACATACATGCATACATGCATGCACACACAGTATACTGAGAACAAGGACTATTTCAAGGGGTATTTATTCCCCCAGCCGACACATGTAGGCAGTCTGCTAAGTAACCATCGACCCGGCTGCTTTGAGATACCTGCTTAGTGATTTTGTGTATTTGTGTAGTATTGTTTGATTTGTATGTGATGATTAAGGCTCCATAACCGCAACGTTCACGTTTTGTTTGTATTTGTTACATTGTGAAGCTTGATAATATACTTTTTGTTTGGTTTTATATCTTTTCTTGATATTTCTTGACAATCACTGAGAAAAGACCAAATTTGTCAAATATGGAGGTAAATCACAAAAGTGAATGAGATTATTTACCGTTCATAGCTCTGATTTTCCAGTTGCTTTTGTTTTGTACAAGGCAGTCCATCCAGGGTCGCTTTAATTCATAGCGTCCATCTAGACATGAAACGGATTTCAACACAGACATCATTATTTGCAACAAAGACTGTGTAAAACATGATGAGAAATAATCTGGCTCTATAAACAGACATAAGAAACAGTTTCACCCTCTCTTTCAGCAAAAGAGGGTGCTAGAGTAGCAAAGTCACGCTTCAACTCCAGTCTGAAGGTCTTGGGTTTGAATATGCATTGAATCAGACTTTAAAAACGAATGATGTTGGCTGTTTTGTTTACCCAGCCTAAAATGGATATCAGGCAAAGTCCTGGGAAGTAAAGTTAGTAGGTGTGATGTTGACCACATCATCCATGGAGGGACAATTAGTCGACACGACGTGTCACTAACATAAGAGGGTTCTTTACTTACTGCTATTTCAGCAATCAGGTGTGAACAGGAACAAATCTGAATCTAGGTGTGCTCAAAACTTTCAGCTGCTGACAAGTGTGTCTTTGCGTTTCTACTTACATGTTAATGAACACAAACAATGGGAATCCTCATGCACAAAACAAACACATTTGCACTCTCTCACAGCGTATACTTCACCTATTCATCTTTTCATTCTACGCTACAAGAGGATCAAGATTAGATTTGATTATAATGTAAATCTGATGAAATCCTCTTTGTGTCGCTGTTGACACATGAGGCATTCACAAGTGATCTCCACTGCTGAAAGTCTGCTGCTTTTCTGGCTATGGTATCCCATGTCATTTTACAGTTCTTATTTCTCCTTTCTACTGTACGTCTGCAGGTTTCCTTTAGTCATTCAATCTTCTTTCTCTGAGTTGTCAGCCACAATCTCTGTTATGTTCTGAGTTGTTAGCCACACTCTCTGTTATGTTATAGGTTGTCAGCCACACTCTCTGTTGTGTTCTAAGTTGTCAGCCACACTCTCTGTTATGTTCTGAGTTGTCAGCCACACTCTCTGTTATGTTCTGAGTTGTCAGTCACACTCTCTGTTACGTTCTGAGTTGTCATCCCCAATCTCTGTTATGTTCTGAGTGGACAGCCACACAGTCTGTTATGTCCTTAGTTGTCATTGTGTGTGTGTGTGTGTGTGTGCACACGCATACTTTTTGCATGCATGTGTGTGTGCATGCATGCACGCATGCATGCGTATGTGCGTGCATGCGTGTGTGTATATGTGTGTGTAAAACAACTGCATAACTGCATTGTGAAATGTAAAATTTGAATATATATCAACAGTTAGCCACCACTAAACTTACATGGTGAGCTAGGAGTTTTGGGAGTTGTTGGCCTACTACACAAACTAGTGGTGCTTGTTGACTTATCCCTGCGATCCTTGTTTTCAAACACCTCTTCAGAAATAGCCTCGTCAATATTTCTGTTGGCAGATGAAGGAGCTTGCTGGTGCAAGGGCAACATAACTTTTTCTAACATGTCACCCATAACCTGGAAGCTGGGGTCGACAATGAAGTCAATGAAACCTGGAAGTAGATAGTTCAACATTTAAACTTAAAATCTGGACCAACAATGAAACCTACAGGTATTGTTTACAAATACCAGTTTGTCAACTGAAACAATTACAGTGAGACAGGTAAACATAAAGTATGGTCAAGTGTCAGCCGGAACAATTACAGTGAGATAGGTTAACATAAAATATGGCCAAGTGTCAGCCGGAACAATTACAGTGAGATAGGTTAACATAAAATATGGTTAAGTGTCAGATGGAACAATTACAGTGAGACAGGTTAACATAAAATATGGTTAAGTGTCAGCTGGAACAATTACAGTGAGACATGTTAACATAAAATATGGTTAAGTGTCAGCTGGAACAATTACAGTGAGATAGGTTAACATAAAATATGGTCAAGTGTCAGCCGGAACAATTACAGTGAGACAAGTTAACATAAAATATGGTTAAGTGTCAGCCGGAACAATTACAGTGAGACAAGTTAACATAAAATATGGTTAAGTGTCAGCTGGAACAATTACAGTGAGACAGGTTAACATAAAATATGGTTAAGTGTCAGCTAGAACAATTACAGTGAGACAGGTTAACATTAAATATGGTTAAGTGTCAGCCGGAACAATTACAGTGAGACAGGTTAACATAAAATATGGTTAAGTGTCAGCCGGAACAATTACAGTGAGACAGGTTAACATAAAATATGGTTAAGTGTCAGTTGGAACAATTACAGTGAGACAGGTTAACATAAAATATGGTTAAGTGTCAGCTGGAACAATTACAGTGAGATAGGTTAACATAAAATATGGTTAAGTGTCAGCTGGAACAATTACAGTGAGACAGGTTAACATAAAATATGGTTAAGTGTCAGCTGGAATAATTACAGTGAGACAAGTTAACATAAAATATGGATAAGTGTCAGCCAGAACAATTACAGTGAGACAGGTAAACATAAAATTTGGATAAGTGTCAACCAAAACAACTACAGTGAGATAGGTTTACATAAAATATCATTATAGTTTTATTAAGTCATTGTATGTAATATAGGGTTGCAGTATATTCCACCATTTCATTCTGTCCAGTGCTGTCCCTTAGACCGCACTTTTGGTGTCTGTCATCAACATTTGGTGTGTGGACTGTAGCCTTTAAACACCCATCAGAAGCAGACAATCCCCGATCCACATAGCACTTTCTTTGAGTACTTGCTTGTGGACTAGATGCAAAGCATGCCCATTTGTGGTCCAAACCTCATTGATACAAAACATGCCCATTTGTAGTCTAAACCCCGTTGATACAAAGCATGTCCATTTGTGGTCCAAACCCTCTTGATACAAAGCATGTCCATTTGTGGTCCAAACCTCATTGATACAAAACATGCCCATTTGTAGTCTAAACCCCGTTGATACAAAGCATGTCCATTTGTGGTCCAAACCTCATTGATACAAAACATGCCCATTTGTAGTCTAAACCCCGTTGATACAAAGCATGTCCATTTGTGGTCCAAACCCCCTTGATACAAAGCATGCCCATTTGTGGTCCAAACCCCCTTGATACAAAGCATGTCCATTTGTGGTCCAAACCCTCTTGATACAAAGCATGCCCATTTGTGGTCCAAATCCCCTTGATACAAAGCATGTCCATTTGTGGTCCAAACCCCCTTGATACAAAGCATGCCCATTTGTGGTCCAAACCCTCTTGATACAAAGCATGCCCATTTGTGGTCCAAATCCCCTTGATACAAAGCATGTCCATTTGTGGTCCAAACCCCCTTGATACAAAGCATGCCCATTTGTGGTCCAAACCCTCTTGATACAAAACATGCCCATTTGTGGTCCAAATCCCCTTGATACAAAACATGCCCATTTGTGGTCCAAATCCCCTTGATACAAAACATGCCCATTTGTGGTCCAAATCCCCTTGATACAAAACATGCCCATTTGTGGTCCAAATCCCCTTGATACAAAGCATGCCCATTTGTGGTCCGAACCCCCTTGATACAAAGCATGCCCATTTGTGGTCCGAACCCCCTTGAAACAAAGTATGTCCATTTGTGGTCCAAACCACCTTGGTCTGCTGCTCAAAGGGTTTATTTTAAATTAGAGAAGCATTCAGCTGTGAATCATGTGCTTATGCCATATTGTGAAAAAATGCCAAATGGCATATACTGGGGAAAACAGTAGGAATTTAGCAGGTCCTCTTCCATAAACATCTTAATGAAATTTACAATGCGGTTTCCAAACATGTCTCCCTCCATTTGAATAGCTTTGACCACCAATTCTATATTTCATACAGAGACAGAAAATCATACGGTTTGGACACTCAGAGAGAATGCCTTGTGACGCCATTTCAGATAAGGCATACAATAAAATAGAAGGAGGTAGAGCATGAGGCAAACCAAGAATAACATGGAAAGATAACATCAGAGAAACTCTATAAAGCCCAGTGTGTCTATGGCAGAGCTATTCAGCTAAGTTTACTCAGGGGCCAAAATGTTGGAAAATTGGGGATCGTCATGGGTCAGAAGCCCAATTCCCAGCTTAGAATGATCATAAAAATAATTCAACAGGCAATGATCCGCAGGTGGCGGATAGCCCTGGTCCATAGTGTCAGCAGCCATAAAAGCAGGAACCTTATATCTCCCTCTACACTTGATGTTGCAAAAGAGGAAGTGAAGAAGAAGACCACCAAGGTAAAAGTGAAATCTCAGTGTATTTTAAAAGTGAAACTGACCTATTTGGGATTCAGCAACCAGTGTGTTTTTTCTATCACAAAGGGGGGAGAATGGAAGCCCAAGCTCTTGTTCTCTGTCTCCCTGTGGATTTCATGGGTTAATAAATTAGAATAGTGAAAAACAGTGAGCTCAATCAACATTAGACTGTACTGCTTAGGGAAAATATTTATCACATGCTTTTATCACCTCTAGAACAGTATTTATATAGTGTCAGGCCTTTAATTAACTTTTTGAGTCCCAGGGGGTTTAGCATCACAGGCCCAGGGGGTAGTAAAGAAAGTAATACAATCAGCGCATTGTGCGTTCATTGGGCTTCTAGGTAGGAACACATGAACGTATGATGCGTTCCTTGGGACTGAAAGAGTTAATCAGCTGAATATCCATGGCATTGAATAGAATATTTGCATAACCTAACATAAGGTATTCAATACATCTGACTCAGCCAAAAACAAATATTTGCTGGTTTAAAGAGCATACTTCTGACATTTGAATTAAACAATCATGTGCTGTCTCTATAATGAAGGTTGGCCGCAACACATTTTGTCTCTTGTCTCTCTCTCTCTCACTCTCTCAAACTGCTGTTCATCCATTACCCGACACTGTCCTCCCATTTGTACTGTTGTCTATCTCTTGCTCTCCTGCCTTAAAATTTCCATTCCATATTGTTTTTAAGAGTGTGATGTCTCTTAATGGGGTCAAAATACCTTAGTTGTTGCTTGTTTTAATTTTTTTCCAGCAAATCTGCTGTCATGTGAAAGCAGGTTAAAATGTCAGTGAGAATTTCAGCTCTATCCCTGTGCTGTCTTTCAGGACAGCATACACTCTGCACCAGCAAAGACTTTTGGTGTGACCATTTATGATGTTTAATATAACCTTTTCCCCATATATTTCCTATGTCTCCCACAAACTTTTAAAATTCCTGAATTCACAGTCTCGGATATCAGTTATGCGGGTGACAACTTGCTGTTTTTGTTAGCATCTAAGTAATTTATTTCATTACTGTGCACTGATAATCACTGATAATAATCAGTGTGCATGATTAAATCATTTGATCTGCTGTGTCTTGAATATAATTCACAGCTGCTGTTTGAAGTTAAATAATTTCCTCAAGCAACACCATCAAAGAATTAGTCTCAGGTACAAGAAAAAAAAAGCGTGTAGCTTCAATTTATTCAGTTTGTAAAATGTTTTTACAACTTCATGCAAATTGTTTTTAAAAAGGTGACAGTATTCATTGATGATTACATCTGTAGTACATGGAAGGTTTGTGTTGGCATCTGCCTTTTATATTTATTGCATGTGTATGATATTGGCTTTGCCAAGACTGCAGTTTGTTTAAATTGTTCTCAAGGGCAGTGAGAGGAACTCTGTGTGGTTTTTACTGGTCCAGTTATATATGACCCGTAAGATGTGAAGTTTGAACTGTGATTAACTGATTAATCTGTAGAACAATATTTCCCCAATCATATTCAAATGTTAACCTGATCAAGTAACCTCCTAGCATGCCATTACAACTTTCTATACAAACTATGTAGCATGTTCCTCACCATCACCATTATATCCACACAAAAACGCAATATGGAGAAAAAAAGCTGACTGTAAACGGACAATCCATTTTCTTTTTCTATTACTTTAAAGTAGATAGTTACAAATGAATATCAACATTCTATGGAAGACATGATAATACAAGTATAAAGTGCATTAAGTGAAACAATGATAAGCACTGCAATATATCTCCATTGGTATAAATAAATACAATACCCAATCTCAAGAGCTCATTTTAGACAAACAGAAAAAATTCATAGCAACAGAAACTTTGCAGAGTGGTGTGGAGAAGAGAGACAGACAAATTAAAGAGAAAAAGACCTTACAGGGAAAGTTTCCTAATGACATTTAGTAAGAGGATTCCATTTACAATAAATAAGGTCTCTTAACTTTTTTCATAAACATTTATTTATGACATCAACTCTCGTTTGGACAAGTAAAGAGAAATAAAATATTCTTAGATAGTTCATCCACATATTTTGTAATAACAATGTATACATTTTCATTGTTTTCTGTATTTTTTTTTTTTTAAAAAAAGGGGGGGGGGGGGGGGGCATTAAATGTCATTATATACTTTACAAAATTTAAGCAATAATCAGTATTAAACAAAGAAATTTTTCCATTTTAGAATAATTCTTATCAGCAAATTGGCTTCTGTTTTCAAAGAACCCTGCCTCTTTTTATAAAAAAAAACTGAAGTACAAACTAAGTTTCGGAACCAAGGTTCCCATGTATTTAAACCATTTACTAACAAAACTTACCTGGCGAAAAAATTCTTCCAACAATAGGCCAGTCCACCTTTCATGAAGTTCCCAGTCTTTGGCTGGATGGCTAATATCAGCACAGTGCAACACCAGGGACAAAACTTTGGATTTTTCTATGCTGCAAAATATAAACCATTTAACATCTCCTTTACACATCAGAATCAATAGATAATAGTTTATCTTTAATTTAATGAGGTTATTAAAGAATAACAAATTGTTTGTTTGTCTGTTTTAGTATCCAGAAGCTATGAGTTGTTAACCCTTAGGCTCGGTATTATTGATATCGCAACCTTTCGGCCTTGATTCCATTGTAAATACCGTAAATCTTGGAGAAATATGGCTTTCCTGCCTACCCCTGGGATTGAACCCGGACCACAAGGAGTTTGTCACCCGGTCTCCGGTTTAGCCAACTACGCTAGAGAGCCGGGCAAAGAATAATAAATAAACTTGCCAAACATCTCAAAAGTAAACAGGAGTCATGGAAATGCTGCTTCTTCATAATTAGTAAACTAACGTGATGGATCCTTTCCATGCCTTCAGGTATATTGGGCATATAGGGCTAGACCTATATTTTATTAATCAGTCGGGACTCGGTAGGAGATGTGGTCAACATCACGCCAGCCGCCTTTACTTCCTAGGACTTCACCTGGTACTCATTTAAGGCTGAGTCTACCAGCGAAGAATCTCTCTCAGAACCTGAATTCTCACTACCACAAATAGAAGGCTAACTAACCTGCTGGCCTTGTTTTAGAATCCCAATCAAAGTGGAGATTACAAAGATTTTCTTCGGCTCCCAGTATTCATGCTAAAACTGGTACCCAAAAATTGCCTTACAAAGTCAAGACAGAGATAGTGATACATAGCACTTAGTCAATAAAGCGTCAATGGCCTTATCAAAAATAAAAATATGGGCTTAATACCATGTGCTCAATATGCTTGCATAAAAAAAGAAAAAAATAAACATGTTAGTTAGCCAGTGTCCTTTCCTTCCAAGTCAGAGAGGCAAGAAACTACCAGTGTGCTTACAAATTAGCCAGATCTGTAAAACGGATGTGCACACAAAGCTCCAGTTTTGGAACAAGACTACAGTCCAGAGGTGGATGAACAACCAGACTTTTTCATCAGAGTTTATAGCCAGTGAACGCAAAGAGGAGACAGAAGAAGAAGAAATTTGCTGAGGTTCCAGCTACACTACATTTAGGTCACCCTATAACAGCTCTGTTCTTGTGCTAGTGAAATGCACACAAAATAAATTTCTTTACTATCCAATTACCTAAAAAAATATAAAAAAAAAATAAGTAAAATACATATCAGGTCAAGTATAATTTTGAAACTCATTTACACAAAATAATAGCATAAAAGAGCAATCAGATGTGCCAACACTAACTGTCTCCCACCAGAATTGCAGCTCAGTGTTGATGCAAGTAGCTAAGCATGAAAGCTGGCATTTGCACTTGCAATACTGCATAAGTAAACACTATTCTGAACACATCTGGTCGCTATTGTTTACAACACAAATTTGCCATAGAAACAACTGAAAAAACCTATTCCACACAAAATCCACAGCTCACAGTGTCACAATCAACTCAGTAGCTTGGTGACAGAACCATTGAGCTCCTAGTCCAAAAATGGGAAAACTGTTTTAGCAAACCATGGCTAACTTTTCAAAGCATCAATAACCAGCTTGCCTATCCACCATATTGAAATGGAGGTCTGTATACATCTGTGAGATGGTTCAATAAGTCGTCAGAAAGAACATTTCTCAAGTTGTTTTATAAACACAAATAGAAATACACATATAAATTAGGATGACTGAATTGTTTTAGGTTGTTGATTAATTGTCTCTGCTAAACAAAAATAACAACAGCAACAACAACAACAAAAATTAAAAAAATAAAAATTTTAAAAAAAAGGGGAAAAACAACAACAATAAAAAAATAAAATAAAACATTAAATAATAAATAAATAATTGAACAAAAGAACGCTCACTTCTCAGGGACACCAAGCAGAGTTTTCATATTCTTGATTTGTTGGAAATGGAAAGACATATCAGTAGCCAGTACCATATCAATAACCAGAGCACGAAATTCTCTGTGAAAAAAAAATGATAATGTTAATGGTGTTATGTTACAACAGTAAACTTAGCATTAAGAACAGCAATGGAATTTAAAACAACTGTGGACCAGCCCCATTTTTAGAGAGGTATTATGTAAATGCTATGCTTCCGTAAGTCGCTGTGAAGTAGCGGCTAGACACTAGTCTGTTTGATTTGAAGGCTGTAGGTTCAAATTCAAATGGAAATGGATTTATTGTTTTCTTTAAAAAATGACCCTGGTTCCTAAGTCAAAAGACCACATCATCCACTAGCATGATGTAAACCACATCATCTACTCGCATGATGTAGACCACATCATCTACTAGCATGATGTAAACCACATCATCCACTAGCATGATGTAGACCACATCATCTACTAGCATGATGTAAACCACATCATCCACTAGCATGATGTAGACCACATCATCTACTAGCATGATGTAAACCACATCATCTACTAGCATGATGTAGACCACATCATCCACTAGCATGATGTAAACCACATCATCTACTAGCATGATGTAGACCACATCATCCACTAGCATGATGTAGACCACATCATCCACTAGAGTGATGTAGACCACATAATTCACTAGCATGATGTAGACCACGTCATCCACTAGAGTGATGTAGACCACATAATCCACTAGCATGATGTAGACCAGATCATCCACTGAATGCCTGGACGTCGTTTTCTGCTGTCAATTTGACGGCTGCAAATGTCAAAGCATCTGCGTGGAATGTTCTGATGTGTTTTTCTGCAAAGGTAAAGTGTATTTTTTTATGTCGAGAGATGATGTGTCAAGATGCCAAGCTTGGTTACACTTGACCAACGGTTCTCAGCCTGCGGGTCGCGACCCTTTCTTTGGTCGAATGACCCTTACACAGGGGTCACCTAAGATCATCGGAATACACATATTCATTGAAATTATGAAGGAAAATAATTGTTTGATGATCGCCACAACATGACGGAACTGTATTAAAAGAAGGCAGCATTAGGAATTTTGAGAGCCACTGCGCAAGACTATTTTTTATCTCCACGTGCACTGACCGAAACGTCAGCTGTGTTTGAATGAATAAAAACTGATAACGATCACCTGTGTGGCGTTGACATCATTCGTTGTTCATTCTGTTGAGTTATATGTCAGTGTAAAGTTGAGAAGACTCCAAATGATGGAAGCCAGAGGATCACTGCAGACTCTTCCTTTGAAGGAAACTCTCCTATTGTCCCCTTATATGATATGCTTGTTTAGGAGGCAACTGTATTATGCCCTCCACCCCCCCCCCCCCCCCCCCCCCCCCCCCCCCCCCCGCCTTTCTCTCTCCCCCAGAATGACACATAGGAACCAAGATGGGGAAGGACAGATGTAAAATTACATAGATCAGTGAGTATGTCTGATGATATCTTCATACAAATTAGACACTCAATTATCCAGGCTACAGACTAAGATTCAGTTCTAACCTGTATTCTTCCTTGCTAAGATTGCATAATATGTTGTGCTCCTCCTCTCTAACCAATCGAAATGCTGCACTGATGTGGTGGTTTTCCAGCACTGCACGGTCGTTATATAATAACGCTACATCAGAACTGTGGAAGAAATGATACTTGATATTTAAAAAAAAACATATTAAAGACAATAAGAATCTGAACAAGTGAAGGTACAATAAAGTGCTTTTTTCAGGAAAAAAAGATGGATATAATGTATGTAATATAATATTTGTATATATATATATATATATATATATATATATATATGTGTGTTGCTTCATATATATATATATATATATATATATATATATAAAGCAACATTAGACCTGGAGATGAAAATTCATCAGAGTAAATCAGAAAAAAAGTTTACATAATAAAAACAGTATTTATCTTGATAAGTAAGGGTAATGTGTTTTTTTTCTTCACACATTTACACACAACACACAAACACATCACACACACACACAATCAAAAGGTTTGTATACCTGCGGACGTGTGTGTATGTATGTGCATGGGCGTTTGTGTATGTGTGTGTGTGAGTGAGTGAGAAAGTGAGTGAGTGAATGCATGAGTGAGTGAGTGAGTATGTGAGTGAGTGGTGTTTGTTTTTTCAAAATTGTGTCTTAAATCTGCTTTTCAGCTTCACATGAATTTATGTTTTAAAAAACATAAAAATGGCTGGGAATACAACAGCATCGGAAAAAAATCCAATGGAAATAATCCCCATATAAAAGATGTGCACATATAATCATCAGTATAAGTCTGGCTGCAGTTTCTGAATATCAATGTTTAGTGCTCATTAGTTAGTTGCATATCCTTTACAGGACGTTGCAGAACCAACCCCAACAGCCCCTGGCTGTTGTGTGGTTTCTCTAGGCAAGTTACATCCAGTAGTTTGCCATTGCCTTCTGGACGGTCGGCTTTCTTTATACCACTGTCGAAACCACCGCACCTGGGATCGAACCTGGCATCCCGGCATTACGAAGCGAAGCGTTCGCATCGACTTAGCCACAGAGCCAACTTAGTGCTCATACATATTTGAATTTTGTTTAATTTTGTTAAATGAATCACAGCCTATGGCTCAGGTGCTGCACATGTGCTTTGTAGTTCTGAGGTACCTGGTTCAATTCCAGTCGATGGCAATTTGGCAGAAGACCGTCATGCCTTGATTTTGACATCTGTATTGAGAGCTGTGTGTTTAGAGAGCAAAGGCAAACCATTGAATATAAAAATTATCTAGTACACCCCCCCCCCCCAAAAAAAAATATACATATAAAAAATTACTGCGGTTGGTTCAGCAACGTGCTGTAAAGGATACGAAGCAAACCTGATATATGACAATCAATCTAGCATTAAATATGTGCAACAAAAACCTTATCTTGTTTACTTACGATGTGTTGATGTGAAAGTTGTTGGTGGTACCAGTATGCTCGTAATCGTGAATGAGGGCGGCAATAATTGTAGCAAACACTTCCAGATCTGTCAACCATTGCTGTGACAAGAAACATGCCATTTATTGCAAGATCAATACTAACAGAAGTAATGTATTTTAGTTCAATTCAAGACAGAGTTGCCTTTTTACAGTAGACTTGTAGTTTCTTCTTGCTATGAACCGTCATTGGAGTTTAGATCCTTAGCCAACTCATGTCAAGTCTTTGCATCAAATATCATTTGCTGCCACCCCTTCCTCGCTAATTTAAATAAGAAAATTATGACAAAAAGACTTTTTTTATGGCAATAACGTATAGGGCATATGATGTTAGTTGCATTCTTTTAAATGCAAACAGTAACTGTACGTGTTGCTTTCAAAATTCAGTTTATATTCTAATGATAAAATAGCAACATTTAACTTCTCTCCTACAACAAGCAACACAAAGTGCCCATGCCACACCCGTTTTCATTTAACTTCTCTTCTACAACAAGCAACACAAAGTGCCTATGCCACACCCCTTTCATTTAACTTCTCTTCTACAACAAGCAACACAAAGTGCCCACGCCACACCCGTTTTTATTTAACTTCTCTTCTACAACAAGCAACACAAAGTGCCCACGCCACACCCGTTTTTATTTAACTTCTCTCCTTCAACAAGCAACACAAAGTGCCCATGCCACACCCGTTTTCATTTAACTTCTCTTCTACAACAAGCAACACAAAGTGCCCACGTCACAAACGTTTTTATTTAACTTCTCTCCTTCAACAAGCAACACAAAGTGCCCACGCCACACCCGTTTTTTTTTTAACTTCTCTCCTTCAACAAGCAACACAAAGTGCCCACGCCACAAACGTTCTTATTTAACTTCTCTCCTACTGGTGGTTGGAAGCCGCCCTGGTGTAGCAGCTGGACGCTCGCTTGCAGATCCGAAGGTTGTGGTTTCAAGTCCTGACTGAGCTGATTTTTTTTAATGACCTTCGCTCCCAGGTTGACTCAGCCTTAAATGGTTACAAGGTAAAGGCTTGGGAAGTAAAGGCGGATGTTGACTACATCATAAATAGACTGCCGACTGGTCTATAGGATATAGGTCTAGCCTTATGTGCCCAAGACGCCCGAAAGCATAGAAAAGGGGCTTTTACTCACATACTGAAGCCAAAGGTTTTTAAAGAATGAGGGCGTTATCCCTGGCCATACATGTGCAACATACACTAATTGTATGGTTGGCAAATGTATCCAGTAGTAATAAAATGCTTATAATTTCACTATATCACATTATCATTATGAACGCGGATTCCATAAGTGTTAGATCGTGATCCTTAACTCTTTGAGTCCCAGGGAACGCATCATACGTTCATAATTTCCTACATAGAAGCCCAAAGAACGCTTGATGCGCCGATTTTATGACTCGCTTTACTACCCCCTGGGCCTGTGATGCTAAACTCCCTGGGACTCAAAGGGTTAAGACTGTATGGGTATGCAGTCACGACAAATTGTGCAGGTAAAGATTTGATGTTTTATTTCCAGTAACAAAAAAAAAAAAAAAAAAAAAAAGTCCACTGACCCCCTAACAAGCATGCCGCAAAAGACTAATTAGGGGTGGTTCTATCAGTCATAATGCATCTGCCTTTGAGACGAAGAATAAAATGTCTGCATACAAATAGACCACATCTGTAAAACTGATGTGCATGCAAAACGCATGTTGTGGCACAAGACCAATGTCAAGAAGTGGATCTAGTACCATAACTTTCTGCCAGAGTTTACAGCCAGGGGATGTTTAGTAGTAGTAGTAATAGTAGTAGTAGTAGTAGTAGTAGTAGTAGTAGTAGTAGTAGTAGTAGTAGTAGTAGTAGTAGTAGTAGTAGTAGTAGTAGTAGTAGTAGTAGTAGTAGTAGTAGTAGTAGTAGTAGTAGTAGTAGTAGTAGTAGTAGTAGTAGTAGTAGTAATAATAATAATAATAATAATAATAATAATAATAATAATAAGAAGAAGAAGATGACGATGAAGAAAAAGAAGAGGAAGAAGAAGACGACGACGACGACGAAAGAAGACGCAACAGAAGTCGTTGACAGCAGCTGTTTACCGCTGACAATTAGGTGATAATATTGTAATTATAATACTGTAATTATAATAATGTTCTCACCGCTAGCCGACTCTGAGATAACACATAGTGAACTGTCTGAGCTATGTCAGCCCCATGCATCAGATTGTGGTAGGGGTTTTTATACTTGCTGTAGCCAGTCTCCAAGGCGAACAGGAAACTTTCTAACATCTGGAAAAAAAAAAAAAACACACAAAAGAAACATCTATAGTTGAAACTATTATTGGTGTGGTTTCCATTCTGAAAGGATTACAGACGTATTTAGCAACATCAAGCCCACAACCCACACATAGGCATACATAAAAGTCATCCTTTTACGACTTATATACTGATGGTAATTCTCTCTCTCTCTCTCTCTCTCTCTCTCTCTCTCTCTCTCTCTCTCTCTCTCTCTCTCTCTCTCTCTCTCTTTCTCTCTCTCCCCCCCTCCCCCCACTAACCTGATTACCTTTTTATGAAATATGTAATTATTTCCGTTTATTCTGGTAAAATGTGAACATGTTTTTGAGTTCTATCCTAAACTGCTTTTTTGATTTGAGCATCGGAGGGTAGAAAACAGTCAAAAGTCGTATTTCAAAACTTGCTTTAATCTAATCTCCTACGATATGCTTCATGTAATTCGCTATTAGATGTAGATAGTGAGTACAAATAATAAAGCTACACACACACAAACACAGGCACGCTTCTCTTTTCCAATCCAAGTTTGTTCCTGTTTATTCGGTATGATCCACGATTATCTTCCCACGTTACACACTTGTTAATTTCTGATTGGTCGACCTCCAGCAACCCGACCTTCGCTCACTGCTGGGGGTGGAGTGGGGGGGGGGGGGTGTTCGGCAATGCGTTGATATCACATGTTGTACATTTAAGCACGCCAGCGCTTTCCAAACTGCAAAAAACTTTTACAAACATGGTCTAAACCACACCCCCCCCCCCTCCAGAGAGTGCTGCAACCTATGTCACAGGCATTCTCTTTCTAAAAAAAATACGTAAATGCAAGACAAGCCAGAAAGGATACTGTAGCAGTAACGCACCGGACAGCAGACGAATCTAAAAAATGTATCAACTGAACACGATTTTGTTTGGCGGGGGAAATTATCGTAAATTTCACCATTTATTCTTCACATGACGCAGTGACACGCAGACTAACCTGTGTGTTGATCTTGAACTTTGTTATGAGGTCGTACTTCTGAAGAAGCTCGTAACCGACAAATTTGAGAGAATGGCCGTCAGCTGCCTCGTTCACAGCAAACACATTGAAAGACCAGTCGTCAAGGTTCTGAGAACATACCAACAAACACATTGAAAGACCAGTCGTCAAGGTTCTGGGACATACCAACAAACACATTGAAAGACCAGTCTTCAAGGTTCTGAGAACATACCAACAAACACATTGAAAGACCAGTTGTCAAGGTTCTGAGAACATACCAACAAACACATTGAAAGACCAGTCGTCAAGGTTCTGAGAACATACCAACAAACACATTGAAAGACCAGTCGTCAAGGTTCTGAGAACATACCAGCAGCAAACACATGGAAAGACCAGTCGTCAAGGTTCTGAGAACATACCAACAAACACAATGAAAGACCAGTCTTCAAGGTTCAGGGATCATACCATGAAACATGTCTAACTACATTGTCTAAATTGCACTGTTTAACAGGGGTCGCCTAAGACCATCGAAAAACACATATTCATTCACGTTATCAAAGAAAATAATGGTTTGCGGGTCGCCACAACATGAGGGAACTGTATTTTAGGGTCGCGACTTTAGTAAGGTTGAGATCCACTGCCCAAGACAGTGATAGAGTTGTCTTCCCTATGTAATGTGAAAGAAATTGAAGGGTCCTTTTCAACGTCATTCAGACCTATTGGAAATAAAGGGTTTGAACTATATTTTATAGACCAAGCGGCAATTGGTGGGTTATGTGGTCAGCATCACGTCGGTCGCTTTTACTTTCCTGGATTATACATTGTACCCTTTAACGCAGGGTATTTTTGAAAAACGTCCGGTCCTCATTTGGAATTGAACCCACGACCTTCCGACCCGCAAGCGAGCGTCTAGCCGTTAGACCACGGCGGCTCCCTCCTAGGTACTTATGTCACACTTCATTAATCTGTCTGTGCATATGCTTCAAGTCGCGTTCCACCACTCGACATTAGCTGGAAGGAAACTTGACGCGCTCAAAAAGAATTAGAGAGAATTATCCAGACACATTTCCAAGAACACTCTGCGGTTCAATATAGCCAATATCCCATACTGGCAAGGACCGGAATAGTGCTATTATTACTTGGTACTGGGCGCTTTCTCCACTTTTGTGAGTAATAAGAATAAGGCACAAAGCCAGACTGACTCACCCCATTCTTCCATTCCCAGACAGAATAATTAAACAATGGGTACTTATCACAAACTTGCCCGCACGGCGAGAGTTCCTTCCCCTCCCATTCATGTCGCGCCGGTCCCAGGGCTTGTCCTGTGTTGTGGGGGTGTCGTGTATTCCCTATTGTCAACGATTTAACCGTTCTCACTTGCGAGATTATTTCCAGGTTGTGCTACTTGCCCGACGGTTCGGAAGTATAGAAACTGCGATGTTTTTGTGTTTCTACGATCCTTGTCAGTGGATTCTTCTTTTCCTGGGGTTAAGCCACAGCCAAGGAAAGTAAAAATATTAAAAACATCCCAGGTTCGATACTCACGAACAGTCTCTAGTTCGGCTCTTCTTCCTGCAGTACTTCTTGCTTGTACACAGGCGCCTGCTGTACCTCAAAGAGCCTCACGACAACAAAACCTCGGTGAACATTACATACGGCGAGGGAACGTCGAACCAAGCCATTTCATAACACCTCTACAACATAGGCAGGCCGTGGGACCAGGCACGGCATGAATGGGAGGAGAAGGAACTCCCACCGTGCGGGCAAGTTCGTTATGAGTTCCAAACAATTATTAAAACAAATGTTAACGATTTGATATAATGTGGTGATAATATATGATTTCACAAATAATGTATTCTCCAAAGTAAGCTGCCCTTCAACATCTGCTAAAGTCAAGGGGTCTGTCTCGCAACACCAAGATCAACATTTCTGAAACGTTGATTAGGCCAGTCGTTTTATATGGCTCTGAAACTTATAGCACATATAAAAGAGATAAAGCCTTACTACAGTTTTCGAAAACAGTCTTTAGACGAATCTTTGAACTCATCAAAAATGCAAACAGCGGTGAATGAAGAGTGAGAATCAGCAGCGAAATTCAAAATCTGTTGAAATCACCACTGATCACTGGCATCATGAGAGCTTATAGAATGAAATGGCTGGGGCATATTGAAAAAATGTCAGATGACAGAGAAGTAAAAACTGTATACACGAGGGAGATGAATGGTCGTAGACCACGAGGCAGACCAAGAAGACGATAGACAGATAATATCCAGACAGATCTGCAAACACTTGGTGTCACCAACTGGAGAGAGAAGGCCAACCAGAGAGATGAATGGAGGCGGGTGATATCTCCAGACTGAACCTCAAGGGCTCGGAATGCTGAAGAAGAAGAAGCAGTTGTTCAAGAAAGTTTAATATCAGTACAACAGGCATCATTGCGTATGTTTACCACCTTCCTAAGTTTACCGGTGTTACAGTTGCTTGGGTGGTCAACTTGTAAACATTCTATTGTTAAGAACTCCGTCCCCATGTGGGATGCATTTTTGTTATTTCAAAGCCCCACCCAGGTTGTTGCCGGGGCCCTAATATAACCCTACGGTTAAACGGGGTTTCTGCGACCTCTCCATGGGTGATCCTCGTCCGAATAGTGGCACTTTGGGTCACCGTGTGTTTATTGTCCAGTTTGATGTCCTTTGTGGGTTAAAAACTTATTCAGTACTGTATACTGTTTCTTGGCGGTTAAGACATTGTCACTATGTTTATGTACATCATAAAATATTGGATAAGATCTGGGGTGTCTAAGAAAGTAAAATCGAATCTTACCTTTAATAATATTAACACGTGAGGCGGGACGTGCAGACCGACAGAGCTGGACATTCGACGGTATATCCTGCAATACAGCTACATGGTATAAATTTAAGCCAGTGAAAAAAGTATGGACAGAAAAACACTGAAAAGGGGAATAATCATGAAATATAAATAGACAAAAGATTATAGTATTAGTAAAATGGACAGTTGTAAGGCGAAGCAATTCGTTTGCAGATTTCACACACACGCATACACATACGCACGCACACGCACACACACACACGCGCAATGAAGCAGGCGATTTCAATTACTCTGTAAAAAGACTAACAACTGCTATTTACACAGTCATAACAGATCATAGGATTGCTGTAAAAGATCTTTAGAAAAAAAAAAGGAATGACAAGACTAACAAGAAAAAGAAGAAAAGAGTGGGGGAGTAGGAGAAATAGAAAGGAATAGGAGGATAAGAATAATAATAATAATAATAATAATAATAATAATAATAATAATAATAAGAAGAAGAAGAACAAGAACAAGAAGAAGAAGAAGAGGAAGAGGAAGTATTTATACTTGACAGCAACATGCTTCTTCGTCTCATAACTCCACAGCAGCGTGACGACGTGACGACACATGAGAAGATGCACTTGAGCAACTAAGGCACATATATATATCCCTCGCTAGGGCGGATGTCTGTAAGACTGCAGACCTGCTTGATATCATCATCTGCCCTACCCAGCCATGGTTTGCCCTCTTTTGAGTCTGTTGCTCCACTTTCTCTTTGCTGAAGAGAAAGTGGTGCAAAGGGGGCTTCAGACCTCAGTTTACCTAGAGGTATCTGCGAGTTCTCTAAATCTTGTTGCATGATCGGAAAGTCCAGAAAATATCTCACTGCTGCGCAAGAAATGTCTCTTGTGTACCCCCAGAGTAATGCGCATGGTTTCATTTTTTTTCCTATTCAAGTCTGCCAATCTGAGGTGTGTAAGCGAGACATGAATGATACAGTTACTGAGGTAGATGCATGGGGACAGGATAGCATGGATCTCATTACACAGAGAAAGGAAGGGTGAATAAGAAAGGTAATAAGAACCAAGGAGAAAAGGATCGCAGACAGTTAAGAGCTCTGAGTAAAAACATGTCAGCTACATGTAATGGCAACAATGATCCTAAAATATCATGTATTGTTTTGTGAAAGATTTTCTTAACGCTAGCAAAGTTGCCAGAATAGAGCAAAGAATACACACTAGAACCTAACCAGCATAACCCCCGTCTGAGAACTCCGCCACACATATCTTTCAGTCATACTCTTTTCTAGGAACACCGTCACCCATACCTCTCTTTCATACCCCGGTCTTAGAATACCGTCACACATACCTCTCTATTATACACCGGTCTAAGAATACGATAAGAAACACACCTTTCCATTTTAAAATTAGCTCCAAGAAGACTGTCACACATACCTCTCTATCATACCCCGGTCTAATAATACCATCAGAAACACGCCTTTCCATTATAACCTTAACTCCAAGAAGACAGTCACACAAACCTCTATAAAGAAGTCCAGATCTAAGAACACCGTCACACACAACTCTCTACCTAAACCCAGATCTAAGAACACCGTCACACTCAACTCTCTACCTAAACCCAGATCTAAGAACACCGTCACACAAAACGCTCTACCTAAAACAAGATCTAAGATCACTGTCATGAATACGTCTCTAAGGAAGTCCAGATCTAAGAGCACCGTCACACATATCTCTCTATCATACTCCGGTCTAATAATACCATCAGAAACTCGCCTTTCCATTATAATCTTAACTCCAAGAAGACCGTAACACAAACCTTTATAAAGAAGCCCAGATCTAAGAACACCGTCACACACAACTCTCTACATTAACCCAGATCTAAGAACACCGTCACACATAACCCTCTAAGAACATCGTGACAATACATATCTACCGTAACCTGAGCTCTAAAAACCCCTCACACATACCCGTGTACATTAACCTCTGTTTTGAGGACACCTTCACACATACCTGTCAAATATAACCTCTGTTTTAGGAAAACCTTCACATATACTTGTTTATAATAACACCTATTTTAAGAACACCTTCACACACCTGTCTACCATAACATCTGTTTTAAGAACACCTTTACACCCACCTGTCGTAAATAACCTCTGTTTTAGGAAAACCTTCACATATACTTGTCTAATGTAACCTCTGTTTTAGGAAAACCTTCACACATACCTGTCTACCATAACATATGTTTTAAGAACACCTTCACACCCACCTGTCTACCTTAACTTCAGCTTTAAGAGCGCTGTTCCACATACCTGTCCACCATGATTCCAGCCCTTATAGCGTGTGCAACACTTCTGAATCGTGGCTTGTCTTCTCCTTTCCGTTTCATGTTGGACATGGAACGCGTGAAGGTCAAGGCCAACCAATCTCGAACTTCGCTGGGGACAGCATCAGGTTCCACTTCGCTGAGTTCATCGTCTTCTTCGCACAACCGTCTGGAAAGTAACATAAAGTAAAAGCACAGCAATGAGAATCATTGGAACTAAAATATGGACTTATAAATTATACAGTTTGAAAACGAAGATGCGTATTTTCATTTCTAATGTAATTTCAGTTTAAATATATGCCAGTGAGAGTTACAGAACCACTAAAGACAAAAGATAAATTCCTGGGCAACGGCTAGTATCAAACTGTTCATAAAATACAGTCATCCTCATTTGAATGAACTTTTTAGTTATTTTGAAGCCCATCCCTGGCTTTTGCCGGGGGCCTTAAATATAGACGGGCCTTAAAAATTGCTTTACGGTTAAACAGGGTTTCCGGGACCTCTCTACGGGGAATCCTCATCCGCAGCATGGTGGCACCTTGTGTCACCGGGTGTTTATCGCTCGTGTGATGTCCTGATGGGGAACAACTTACTTACTCACCTTTTAAATTGTACGTGGAATGCATTTTTTCGTTATTTTGAACCCCATGTTAGTCTGCCATCAGGACTGAGATCTTCTGTTTATAGGCTATCACATTTTCTAAGCAACATCCCATAGGGAGTAAACGGCTCTTGTGATTACCTACCATTACAGCCTGTGATTATTACCACTTGGAGGCGGGATGATCTTTAAGCCTGACGATTTAAGGCGGCGTGTCTAGTGCTGTCGTCACGGACTGTGTATATTTAGGGGATAAACAGTACGCGCAGAATTATACCGCCAATTCTTCTTCTTCTTCTGCGTTCGACATCAGTCATGCTAAACATTGAGTCCCGTCTGGGTCACAAATAGGATTGTGCGTTTGAGGTCGCCACCGTTTCCCCATAGCTTCTCTTTCAATGTGGCTCCCTTGGGCCAGATCCAGAGTCTTTGCTGGGAGAGGTAAGGGCAGTACTGTAGTATGTGCCCAGGGGTCTGTCTTTCTGCTCCACAATCACAGGCAGCAGATTCTTTTATGCCTATCCTGTACAGGTGTGCTCGAAGACCACAGTGTCCAGTCCGAAGTCTAAAAATTGTTGTTTGTTCTTTTTTGTTGAGTTTGTTTATGCTGTCACTCTCTGGTCTGTAATCTCCATTCTGCCCTCTCCACTCCCGCTAGAAAGACTGCTTTAATGCTTATACTGCCAATGAAGATCATGCATATCCGTATTTTATAATCTCTAACAGAAAATATAATTTCGTAGGATGGCACTGTACACTAATATGACAACAGGGTCTCAAGCACCTTCTCGTTAGGGCTACACTGTTTCACAATCTTATCTCCTGTCGGTTCTCATACTTTGCGGTGATGCATAAGTAGCATCGTTTGTGAGCATCTTTTTTATGGGACTCTGTCCATGTCGCCCTGGAGACCTCCAACTGTAAAATAACAAAAACTCGAGCGATATCCACGAATAGCATTTGGCACCACCTGTATGTTGGGGGAGCCGTCGTGGTGTCACTGCTAGACGCTCGCCGAAGGTTGTGGATTC